GTGTATAGATACTCGTCACCATGCCTATACACCGTACTCGATCATTTAGCAATTAGCAAATAATTACACTCTAATCATATTCCTTCAAGCCAAAGTTAGATCAAACACTTACCTCAAATGCTCCAAAATCAACTCAAGCCTCTAGTATAGCTTTACCCCTCGAATTCGGCTCCAACTCGGTCAAATCTATGATATAATGACTTTACAATATTAATAATAGCTAAACAAACTAAACCCAATGCCTAAATATGAATTTCTAAGCTTTCTACCCAAAATTCCAAAAATCGACCTCGGGCCCGCTTGGTCAAAACCCGAGGTTCGAACCAATTCCATGTCACCCATTTCCCCACGAGCCCGAATATACAATTTGTTTTCAAATTCGACCCCAAAACGAGGTCTAAATCAAAGAAAATTGAAAAGCCCTAATTCTACCATTTCCCCCCAATTTACACCTTAAGTTACATGATTTAGGTCTAGGAATTTGATAAATGATAATAGAAAATGAAGAAAACGAGTTAGAAAATACTTACCCAAGAAGCTTTGGTGAAGAATCGCTCTAAAAGTCACCTAGGGGCTGTGGAGAAGAAGAGCTCGTGTGAAATTTGGGAATAATCCCGTCACTGGTCTGTTTTTGAGCTTTAAAAATCACTGGGCAAAAATGCCCTTCGCGTTCGCGGGAAGGGGACCGCGTTCGCGAAGGGTAAACTGGGCAGGTCATCGTGAACGCGTGGAAGATAACGCGAACGCATAGAAGGAAATGCTGGGGGTCTCCAGGTTTGTTCTATGCGAACGCGTAAAAGGCCTCGCGAACGCGATGGAGGGAGCAGCAAGTCATGCGTTCGCGAACATCTGACTGCGAACGCGAAGGGGAAGTCTCTGGGGTTCTGAACTTGACTTACGCGATCGCGGTTATGGAGATGCGAACGCGTAGAAGGGGAACACCATGGCCAGTGCGAACGCGAGCCTAAGGCCGTGATCGCGAAGAAGAAAAGGCCTGTGCAAAAATTGCAGAAAATCTGCTATATTTCTAAGTGCAAAACCACCTACGAATCACTCCCGAGCCCTCGGGGCTCCTAACCAAACACACACGCTAACCCAACAACATCCTACGAACTTAACCGAGCGATCAAATCTCTAAAATAACATCATAAACGAGGAGTCAAACCTCAAAATTATCATTTTTCATTCTAACTTCATAAACTTCAAATTTAGATATTTAGGTCCGAAACACGTCAAATGACG